CACCTTGTTTCTGGATTTTTTGGGTCTAGGCTCACCCTAACCTCTCCACTCGGCAGATTGAGGTTTGGTTTCAGGGTCATAGCCATAGACCCATGTCTCGTCGCCTGTGATTATCTTGTTTTTCCATTCTGGATCCGTTCTTGTCATTTCCATCATGTCCTCACAGGTTGCAAGCCGACACAGTTTTTGCTCATTGGTGAGGAATCTTGGGATGAATTTTGCAGGAGTCTTTTTGAGCTTCAAATCTTCGGTTACGATCCTTCCAATCGTTGTTTTAGAGATGCCTGTGTCTTGCTCTAGCTCCAGCAAAGTGGTTAGAGGATTTTCTTTTATCAAATCGGTGATTTTTTGCACATTTTCATCAGTCCTTTGAAAATTTGGGCGTCCTTGACGAGGATCATCTTCAATGGAAATTCTGCCAGCTTCAAATCTAGAATGCCATTCAAAAACAGTTGTTCTCTTTGGGGGGTCATTGGGGAATGCTTTATTAAGCATTTCAAAAGTTTCGGTTGCTGATATCTGAAGTTTCACACAAAAGTCTATGCAAATCCTCTGCTTCAATTTTTGTTCCATCGTAAAATCGCCGCAGCGCTAGGTGTGACCTTTAAATAAATTAGAATAACCTTGGCGCGCGCGCAAGTACCGCCTCGATATTGGTACCACCGTGTAGCCAGATATTTTTTCTATAATAAACAGTCAAATTCATTTACATTTTTCATTTATTTATTTTTTTTATGGACCCAGTCCGGGAACTCTCTCTCTCTCTCTCTCTCTCTCTTATGGGACATACCTTGTATATAGATGATATAAATATACGTGTGTGATGATATTTGATGCTGATTACCTAATTATAACATATTAATAAAATTTATATTGATTTGTGCCAGATTTTGCTTATAATTATAAGGAGGTTTGAGATAGGAATCATGGATTTAGGATTTCTTCCTCCTTTTAGGTTATTATAAATCGCTGAAAAAATTTCAACTCCAAGCAGTTTCGAGGTTGAAATCGTGTACCAAAGACAGACAGATATATTTATATAGATCAAATAGACTGCCTCGAATTTGTTTAACTAGAATGAGGCAATTATCCTGTGCTACAGGTGCGCCCATCGGTTTTATAAAACAATTAAGCAATTTACTTAATAATAACGGATCCTCGTGGCTTACTTATTGTAATGATCCTGTCTCACTAAGGAATGCTATCCCTGGAATATTAAGAACTGCGATAGAGCAAACAATACAAAACGACCTAACAAGAATAACCCAATCAAAGTTATATTCCCACTATAGAGACATATATACAACCTTTACCACCGAAGAATACTTCTTAACTGAACTCCCTTTTCCTATCATCAGATTAATTGCACAATTTAGAACCCTTTCAATTTTTTTCAGAGAACACCATTTGATTTTATTGAGGCGTGAAGACCTGAAATGCACTTTCTGTGGATCAGGAATAACAACGGAGATGTTGCATTACTTATTTGACTGTGCTGCTCTGTCTGAGGAAAGACGAAAATTAAATGATAAAACGGGGCAAATTTGTCCTTCATTCCCGGCACTGATTAATGAAATATCAAAGAATAGGTATATAGCGATGGCGATATTTGGATTCCACAGGACTATATCCCGGAAAAAGGCCTCACAGTGTTCTCCCTTTCCTTGTGAACTGGCGAATCCTGTATAGGGCGAGTGGCCCCAATAAAGGCTTTTTGTTGTTGTTGTTGTTGTATATTTATATAGATGACTAGAACTAAATGAACTCCGTCTCCAATAAGAGACCACCTCCAGAAAGAAAAAAACTAGCGTTTTATCTAATATTTTTAACCATCTCTCATAAGTTTTTTTTAGGACAAGGCGCTTTGAAATGTAATACCTCATGTTATTCTTCAGTCTTAAAAAAAAGACAATAATTTTAAAAGAATCATCTTTGGCGCTTTTCTGTAGATCTTTGTTGCAAAGAGTAATTTGAATTTGGCCTTGTGTGTGGAAGGATACCTAAGAAAACATGGGAATACTAAGAAGAAGAATATGAACCAAATGCCTCAAGGACTGGAGTAAGCTACATGCTGGTAAAGAGGAAGGAAGGTCCAAGATTGAACTCCATGTTGGTAATGATGTTGTTGTTGTTGTCGTGTCCAAAGAAGAGTCTCAAATGTCTCCATGCATCTCCAACACAGCAGCAGCAATATCCACTATCTTGGGTGTGTAAAGCTGCTGCTCTGGGTCTAAGTCAATTTTCTGCAAGGCTGCGGCCATTGCTGGGCATGAGAATATGTGAGTAGCTGTTAGTTCCACACCAGGACAGTTGTTGCATGCTCTATAGGTTTCTTGTGCCATCTGGATGTATTGCCATTCCTTTATAGTGTTTTGTTATAAGTCTTGTTATAGTTTTTGTCAGTTTTCTCTCAGAGTCTATTTCACATATCGTTGGTTATGATAATTATTAGGTAAAAAACATTTCCCATTGATTCCTAGCAGGCTATATATCAGATTAGAGCTGTATCTAGCTGGAATAACAATTACATCTCTCACTTGCCAACCAACATTTCCAACTAACACGATATAATGATGGATCATCAGTATATGGAGTTTTAATTTTGTTTTCCCCCGAAAAATATTTGAATATCCACAAGGAATCCAAATTTATCTAAATTCCCAACGTCAACAATCATATGTTCAAATACAATTGCTATATGCCGATTGACAAGAAAGTTATAAGCTGGGATTTCTCTCTTCAGAATCAGATTTATATGAAAAAATCTTCTCCAAGGAGATAAAGTTCAAATCACGAGTTTTTTTACAAATTATCATTTTTGAGACAGTTTTTTCTGCAATTCATAGCAAACCTTTGTTAATGTTAATAACTAATGTTCTAATGTCCAAGCCCATCCTCCAAAAGATTGCCAAGAAGAGCCACTTCAATGAAAGAATGGAAGAAAATGGCTGCAACTTAAATACAAGTTTTATTTAAGTTTAACTGAGAAAGCACATTCTGCCCCTAGATCATCCAGTCTTTGACTGGTTTAAATGAAAAAATGAATATTTGAATTTCCTAAGTAAGATTGGTTTTATCTAAATTAAACAAGCTTGATGTCCCGAATTTTCATTGCAGAGACTTCTCTTTTCAGAATCGGTGCTAAAGACTTCTCGAAATATTTTTCATTTTTACTCAAGAAGAAGGATCTATTCAAAAAGCCTTTTTTTTTCAAAGCTAGTTTTGTGATATAGCTTATCGCGATTGAAGACAAAATTTGTCAATACTGGAAAAATATGACTGTAATGGACAATCCAATCTACCCAGGAGATTTTCCAGAAATTCCACTTCCATGTTGAACTCAAGATAGGAAGATATCAAGCTAATATCAAGTTTGGTTGTCTACGACGACACATTCTGCCCCTCGACCATCGCAGCCCTTGATTCTGGTCTCAGATTTCTTAAGGAAACCTCTGACGCTCTAAAACACTCGATTTATCTGATCATAGAACCAACTAAGTCAATGACTTCACCCACAATGCTTTTATAATTAAGACAATTATAGTTCTTCAAATAAAAGACACTACGGCCAGTAAATCTTTTTATTGTCTCGACGTTTCGGCAAAAATCTTTTGTCCTCGTCAGGAGCGAACACAAATTAAAACATTTGGCAAAGTGTTAGAAATTATTCTTTATTATAATAAGAAGAATAATTTCTAAAGCTTTGCCAAATGTTTTAATTTGTGTTTGCTCCTGACGAGGACAAAAGATTTTTGCCGAAACGTCGAGACAATAAAAAGATTTACTGGCCGTAGTGTCTTTTATTTGAAGAACTATGAATGCCGCCGGCCAGGTAACCTCAATCTTTACGTTAAGACAATATCATTTATTGGAAGAAATTCATTTAGTGAATAAGTTATAGGTTATCTAAAAGAATATAACGTTTTAAAAGTGATATATGAGATATCTTTGAACTATTTATTATTTTAAATTATTATTTTTATTGTACATATTACCAGACACTTATTTATTTTGTACACAGCTCTTTTCTCGTTTTTTCTCTCCTTCTCATCATATGACTATTCTATTCACGGCCTAAAATTTTTATATATATATATGTATAGACAAATGTAAAGGCATACATATATGACAGCGCAAATGACCCTAGGGTGACATAGCGCTTTAAATATCTATATATATATAAAAATGAATGTATATGTGTGTGTGTGTGTGTCTGTCCTTTATGCCTGACCAAACCACTCATTGGATCGCCATGAAACTTTGGGAAGTTATTTATTATAGTACTGGGAAGGTTTCTAGCAAATAAAGTTTTTGAAATAACTTTTCACTTTAAAATAATCAAGATAAATATTCTAATTTATCTGTTATAATTCAACAATCTGCTCTAAATATTATCATGATGATACGATGATTTTGTAATGTAGAAAATTAGGAAAGACAAAATTCAGGATGACACGGCAATTTATTTGAGACAAAAATAATGATACAATTCCAAGACAAGATACTATTCCTTTAACTTCCAATTACCGAGGGAACCAATTAATATTGATTTTATTCAACTTATCGAGTATTTTTCAAGGGACCGGGAAAAAATGTTCACTTTATCGAGAGATTCGTTAGACAAACCTTTACTCGGGTAAAACCCGGGCGAAGCCGGGTACGTCCGCTAGTATACAATAAAATAAAAAATATATTATTTATAATTTTAATTGCCATCTATCGATAAAATTTGTAACAAATAAATTTACATTACATATATATCTATCTCTATATATATAAAAGTCAATTTCTGTCTGTCTGTCTGTTTCGCGATAAACTCAAAAACTACTGAACCAATTGGTACCAAATTTTGCATGTCGCTTTTTATAAACCTGACTAAAATTTTCGGCTGCATTTTGATTAGTATTTTTGGCTATTTCTTTTTTTCATTTGAAGAACTTTTTTTTTACGCGGACTAATCCGGAATGGAATGAATACCTAAATATGGCCATTTTTTTAAAGCATCGGTGGTTCAGTGGTAGAATGCTCGCCTGCCACACGGGCGGCAGGGTTCGATTCCCGGCCGATGCATTTTTTTTTAACAATTTTTAAAACTCATTTATATTATATCTTCTATCTCTATATATATAAAAGTCAATTTCTGTCTGTCTGTCTGTTTCGCGATAAACTCAAAAACTACTGAACTAATTGGTACCAAATTTTGCATGTCTCTTTTTATAAACCTGAGGAAAATTTTCGGCTGCATTTTGATTAGTATTTTTGGCTATTTCTTTTTTTCATTTGAAGAACTTTTTTTTACGCGGACTAATCCGGAATGGAATGAATACCTAAATATGGCCATTTTTTTAAAGCATCGGTGGTTCAGTGGTAGAATGCTCGCCTGCCACGCGGGCGGCCAGGGTTCAATTCCCGGCCGATGCATTTTTTTAAACAATTTTTAAAACTTATTTATATTATATCTTCTATATATATAAAAATGAATGTTTGTATGTTTGTTTGTTTGTTTGTTGGTTTGTATGTCCGGTATACAAATTCGCAGTAGTTCACTAATTCAAACCAAAATTTCCATACATAGGTAAAAAAAATAAGGGGAAGACGATAGGCTATTTTAAAAAAATATAAATCAATTATTAAAACTATATATTATTGGGAGTACAAATAAGTTTTGAGGGATTTGCAAAAGAAGCCACAACAAATAGTATATAAATAGCATCGGACCTTGTAAGGTTTCATGTTAAGGCTTCATCATTTCCCCAAAAAAAATCAGAAGAAGTCTTTTCCCTCAAGTGTAAGGAACTTTTTTTTTGGTGCTCTAACCATGTCAACCTTTTTGGCAACAAAACACAATTTGTGGGAAGCGCTGCTTTTTTGTTTTAATTTGAAGAAAAGTGCAACTGATGGACATCAATTGCTGTGTGAGGCATATGGTAAACATGCTCTATCAATAAAATCATGTGAGTACTGGTTTCGGCGTTTCAAAAGTGGCGATTTTGACACCAGAGACAAAGAACGCGGAGGGAGGCCAATAAAGTTTGAAGACGCTGAGTTGGAGGCTTTATTGGACGAAGATTCAACCCAAACTCAAGAGGAGCTCGCTGACACCTTGGGAGTGACTCAACAAGCGATTTCAAACCGTCTCAAGATTATGGGTATGGTGCAAAAAGAAGGAAATTGGGTTCCGTATGAAATCAAGCCAGGAAACATCGAGCGCCGTATTTGCACGTGCGAACTACTGCTAAAAATACAAAATCGGAAGGGTTTTTTGCATCGAATCGTGAAGGGGGACGAAAAGTGGATTCACTACGACAACCCAATGCGCAGAAAATCGTGGGTTAAGCCCGGTCATGCATCAACTTCAACGGCCAAACCGAATATTCATGGCAAGAAGCTAATGCTGTGCATCTGGTGGGATCAGCTCGGAGTGATCTACTATGAGCTACTTCAGCCTAACGAAACCATCACTGGAGAACGTTACCAACAACAATTGATGCGATTAAGCCGAGCATTGAAGATCAAACGCCCACTATATGCCAAAAGACATGACAAGGTGATCTATCAGCACGACAACGCTCGGGCACATGTTGCAAAAGTTGTCAAGGAGACTTTGGAGGCGCTTCAATGGGATGTCCTACCCCACCCGCCGTATTCACCAGACATTGCTCCTTCAGACTACCACATGTTTCGTTCGATGACACATGGCCTGGCCGAGCAGCACTTCACTTCTTACGAAGAGGCGAAAAATTGGGTCAATGTTTGGATCGCCTCAAAAAACGAGGAATTTTTTCGACACGGAATCCGTATGCTGCCTGAAAGATGGGAAAAAGTCGTAGCTAAAGATGGACAATAATTTGAATGAAATATATTGTACTGATTTCTCTGAATAAAGCTTCGAATTTATAAAAAAAATCCCTTAAAACTTATTTGTACTCCTAATATTAGTCAGAAAATGATGATGACGATATTGCTGTATCATGTAAGATTATCAGATACAAATTATATCGGGAAAAATTTCAAAAAGCAGAGACCACGGGTGAAACCAGCTCATTATTTGTACGCAGGAACAAAATTCTAACAGAAAAACACTCATTCGAGCAGAAAACAAAAGCCAGATCATCTTTCTATAAAAATATCGCTTCTCAGACACAAATTTTGGAGCGGGACGTTTCACAAGAGTGACATCCACGCCGCCAATTTATAATTGTAACGAATAGTAATTAAATAAAAACATTTAATCGAGTAAAACCCGGGCGTTGCCTGGGTCATTCGGCTAGTATATATATATATGTTTCTTTTCAATAATATTATCTCTACAGACCTTACTGCAATGAAATTATCATTCAAATATTATTGAAAAGAAACACATTGCCAGTAAATTTGTTATAAATTTTATTTATTATTTTACTCGAGTAAATATTCTGCATTATGAACAAAACTAAATAGATCCACAATCTCGAATGTACAAACTATTTTTTATTATACATAGCTCTACTTAACTTTAAATTATTTTAAAAATATCTCGATATATAGAGGTACTTTATACGTGGATAAAGGTTACAATTCCAATATATAAAACTCATATTATTATTATCCTAATAAACATAAAGAATGTGAACGTTAAGATTTTCAATCTAGGACATTCCAATAGGTGGAACCATTAGAGAGGTGAATATATATCAGGTTTAGAATTGAGATACAAACACAAGAGATTGAGATTGAAACTACTTTATTTCAAAGTCCATATAAGATTATATAAGGTTAAATACAGAATAAATATGAATAAATAACACTGATAGACAAAACTTAAGGAAGTTGTACCTTATAGCATATATATATATCGGGATTCAGAAAATATCTCTCAGAGTTATTGTCTGAATCCCGATATATATATGCTATAAGGTACAACTTCCTTAAGTTTTGTCTATCAGTGTAATATTATATAATGATAAATATATGAATAAATATAAATAAATAGATAAAAATAATTGATAAATATACATATATATAAATATATATACAAGGTTTTCAGAGAGAGAGAGAGATTGAGATTGAGATTGAAACCGATTTATTACAATGTTCATATATAAGATTATATATGGTTATAATTACAAAATTGAATAAATACAAATATAAATAAGATTACATAATGATAAATATAGGAATAAATAGATAAAAAATAGTTGATAAATATACATATATATATAAAATATATAAAAGTCGTCATTGGTGGCGCCTACTGCAGGAAAGACTCCGCCACCGATGGACTGCGAGAGTTCTCTCCTACAGAGTGGGCAGGTCTAGGTGCTGGCTGGCGTTGCCCACCTCAAGACCAAGATGGTACTTGTAGATGGTAGCCTTCGCCACACTTGTTAGTTTCATTGCCTCGGGCTGGAGGCCGACACCGAAGAGCCAGATCTGCAGATCCAGGGGCACTTCGCAGGAGGCGAACACCTCTCAGAGCAGGGGTCGCACGGCTCGGCAACTCAAATATCTGTGGGTCACGACCCATAACGTATATATACTGAAGTGATATTTTAATGTAAAATATTTATAAGGAATGGTGAAAAGAAGATGTGGTATTTAAAACGACATACGCGAATAGGAATTAAAATGGCAAAGCTCCATCTATCGGTGTAAATAACATTTAAACGTTTGATTTCCTATTATTCCTGACTAGTGGCCACATACATCTTGATTCAGCCAGATATCACCTATACATGTTTATCTGGTGACAGCGTGGTGCCAATAGTAATTCAGATAGACATGGAAGTACTGTAGGGATAAAGCGAGTTATGTATAGGTGAGATATAACAAAATAGTGAGTCTATTTCGACTATGTAAGTCATATGGAGAATCTGCTTATATATATTCCCACTTATTGTTTTTTGATGAAAACATGTCTAATTTTTGTAAGATAACATTAAGGCCTAATACAACTGATTACTCCATCAATTCAACAACAAACAACAAAATGCTTACTGCAAATAATTCGCTAACAATATCTCACTTGTATCCTTCTTTGGATTTTATATTGAAGAACTTACTTTATATTCTGATTTTAGACAACCCTTGATCCTTCCATGTATCATACTGTGAATATACCTGATAATTATGTATATTTCTGTCAATTCTAATAATTAGTGTGACAAAAGTTACTTTGTACGGGTTAACACAAGATACAATATACTAGGGCCTACAGTAAGAGTAACTTAAACACAGAAAAATCGTGGACTCAAAAGTACAACACACAAAAAAAAGTAAATAATAAATCACAATTTGTTAAATCAAATAAAAAAAACAGTACTTAGCTTTATTGCTGCTTAGGTAGGGATCGGACCGGGGTTACACAGGTATGCGAGGAGATTGCCAGTCAGGGATATAGCACGCAGAGAACACTTTAAGCGTCTCCACACGATAATCCACAGCACTCTTCTCGACCCATACCATAGCCCCCTTTATATACAAACATGGCCACATTCGTCCAATGTGAAGGCGGGAGAGATTTGTTCACAAACAAACGAAAATAAAAATTCTTTCCACTAATCTCAGGATAAGATATGATAAGATTGCAAATATTTGTCAATATAATTTGACAATTATTCTTAAAAAAATGTTTGTCCTCATATAGAGAATCTGATTGCTCTATGATGGTTTAGGTATAACTCAACTTGAAACCACAACTAAAACCGAAAGAATCATCCTTGAAGTAATAGAAACTTAAAATTTCCATAGTGTGTTTTGCCCTGTGTGGTCTGTTGTCGCAGTCACCAAAGGTCGCGCATCCGAGTTTTCTTCATTTTAGCGTCGGGGTGAGCGGCTTGCCAAACGACATGTCCCTGGCGATTGGCTTCTTCGTCTTTCCATTCTTCGTCTGCCTGGATATGGTGAAACACTGCAGCCTCCTGGTCTATAGAGAGTTAGAAAATTATCGTTCAAATCTTAAGTTTTTCTGTGGTCGAATTCCCGGCTGTTGGAAGTGTTCTTCTTAATCTGGTTTCCTCAAAAGTACAAGGGTCACTCCAAATGTTTTTGCAATCACTTATTTTTCTTGAACTGCAACATTCAATTTTTCA